TAATCGTATTGATTTAATAGATTAGTTAAGGAGAAAAGGAAGCAATTTTTTTAACAAGAATGAGAAACAATTTCTTTTTTTTTTTTTTTTTTTTTTTATCCCAAGCTCAGTAACATTTCATACCGATTTCATATTTTAAAATCATCATTAGACACAAGGACGGTGGATTTTGCTTTATAGAAACTAATTTCCAAGGAAAAAACGCTAAGAAGTAAATTTCAAGATTAATTTTTATTTCTCGAATTATAAATATAAAAACTTTTTAAAAAGTTTCAAACAATAGTTTTAATAGTTGTCTACGAAAATGGTGAATTATATGATAAAATTTAATGTTTCAGGAAAAAGTAATTTCTTTTCAAAACTTAGTTTTGTAAATTATGCATTAAATAAAAAACTAATTGTTTGCCTGTGCCCACGATTGGTGGTAAAAACTTTATATTAGGTGTTAAAAACATGTGAGGAGCTTATCAACATGTTGAGTAAGATTTATAGGCTGAGGAAATAAAAAGTTCAGGACCAACAGATAGTTTGGACAAACCGATTATATTCCTAAACAACTTCTGTTTCCAGGGGTGCCTATCCCCGCTGAGGGAATTGCGCATGAACTAAACCCACTCCCCAAGAAATTTTACTACTCTCTTCTTCTTAAAAACATAGAGTTAGAAAAATCGTAGAACATATACAATTACCCTTGTTGTAATTTGGTTTATGTTTCTCCCCGTTTTCCCTTGAAAATTCATAATACCATCGAAATGTGCTCCCTCAAAAATTCAAAACGCCGTCAAAATATGCCCCCTCAAAAAAGAAAATCTTGTGGGCACCCCTGTCTGTCTGAGTAATTGATCCTAAAAAAAATCTGTTAAAAAACAACCATGACATCTATGAATTATTAAAGAAAATATTCCTTTGGCATTGCACAAATTTCTTTAGAGCTATTAATAGTGTTTTATTTTTTGTAACCGTGCTGTTTTATTAAGCTACAACTTGGTAGTCAAAAGTTTCCATGGGCTTCCCATAACTTGGCCGGTGTCGTTTCGGTAGAGCACTTGCGGCCTTTGATGGTATAATGGCAAGAGAACCGACTTGGAGAGAAATTAACTTAAAGAATGCCGTTAGCTCTTGAAAAGGACCTTTCACGTGGTCTAGGAGCCGTTAATCCTGGCATTGCACTCTAGCATTATGGCACGTACATTATTCCATGCCATGCTCACGAATGTGCAACAAGGCAAAGGAAACGACTGGCTAAATCACGCCTAACGCAGTAGAGAGGGGACGGGTCGCTTTTGTCCTAGAAACTTAATGGATACCTTCTACAGTTTAAGACCGCATTAAACCCGACTTCATTTTAAGCGCTGGTGATCCGTGAAAAAGCAACGCATGTAAAAACAGAGCCTCGTACCTGGTTTAGGGAGCACTAAACTTGAGTTTCGTCTTGTAATAGCTGAGCACTATTTCACTGCTGGATTTTACCTTCAATTAAAATTAAATAAAATTTCAAAGTTACCTTCACAGTAATCCTACTGAGCATGATCCGGCACATTCATTAGATTTCTTTGAATTGGAAATATAGTCCACGCCACAGACCCTTTTTTTTATCAAATTATTAACATCAGTCTAAAATTTCTTAAATGGGTTCATCTTATCGTAAACTAAAACTTTTTTTACTTCAACTTACTTATATATGAAATATATAGTAAAGAGAGTATTGCGATCGTGAAAATTTTTGAATCTGAGTTTTCAACGAAAATATATGTTGTGAGGTCTCCTGAGTCCAAATAACCAAGTCTCGCAAAACGGTATGTGTGCGTGTGTCTGTGTGTATGTATGTGACGAGTCTAGCTCAAAAAAGAAAAGTCCGCGTTTGGATGTTACAACCTTTTTGTCAAAATCTGCTCCAAGGATTTTTATTAAACTCAGTATATCAGTGTGTTATTAAGCAGTTTTTAATGTAATGTAGGTTGTATTTTCATTGATGTTTTCTAACAGGGCTTAAAAGGCTAATTTTCAATACAAGCTTCCTCTAAAGTACCTTTAATTGTTTTTATTTGAAATAATTAACCATTTCACATTAATCTTTGATGTAAAAAATAGTTAAATATAAAATATGAAAGAATTTGATAATTAACTGAAGGAGAAATGAGAGATCGTAACGGATAGTAGTTGTGATGCAGGAACCAAAGAAGTACGACCGCGCCCGAGGTCATCCATGCTCACCTGAAAGATTAGGACAGACTTCCATACTTAACATGAGCTTAATATAATATGGACTTCGACAATATTATATACGTATATATATATATATATATGCCATTTTCATAAATGCCATCGTTGGTATTATTTAATACTTAATTGATTATAATATAGCGATATAAACATTATAAATTTGTATATGTATACAAATAAAAGTACCCACAATGATATGTAAATAAATATAGCGTCTATAATTTTCACTTTCACTTCCCCTTTGTCTGAACTGTACAACTGTACTTGAATCTGCTAAGAAAAGAGTGGTAAGTGAAAGTCGTGTGATGCGCACATCAGATTTGTTATTTAGGAAAATTCTCGGAAATGGAGGGTTTTCAACGTGGAGACCAATAAACTTTCTCTATTTAATGAGACATTAAACCCCCATGAACACACATTTATTTTCGTCTTCAATCGTAAGATAATTTGATATAAAATCGAGAAAAAAAAGTGACATACAAAAATATTGGGCCGTTTGGCGCGACTTCTAACCCCAACATGTCAAAGTAACGAAATCATATAGGCCAAATGGTCCTATATTTTTGTGAGACAACTTTTGTTTCGGTTTTTTCATTAAATTATCTTATGATTAAAGTGCAAACCATATGGGTATTCATGATTTCTTTAAAATTAATTTAACAACAAAACGTACCCTTTCTAAGAATTTGCGTCGATGAAAAAGTTGTGTGATAAAATGAAAACATTCATCCAAGTTTTAGATGGATGTAAATAATTTGATAAAAGGAGATTTTACCGCGGATTAATACTATGCTGTCTATACAAAAATTTTTTTAAATATTAATAACTAATGTGGGAAAAATATTATGTGAAATGAGCCGTTTTATCCTTGGGATTATCTAGGGACAACCATCATACCATGGTATTTTCCCACCAAATTACATAATCAGTAATTTAAGAAAAACGTATATTAATACTAAAGTTTATTTCAGCATTTAGTTATGTTATTTTAATTAATATAAACGGCATTTAAGTAATAAATGTAATCATGAAGCAGTTCCAAATTTCTGCAAAAAAATTGCAATTTCTTTCGGAATAATTTAGTCATAATTAGTGATATTTGTTATTATACTAGTTGTAAGTATACAACTATGGTACATTAGCGATATACAGGTTGTGTCGGAAGTGAAGGGAAATATGTATTAAAAACAGTTATATTATATTATAGTCTTTATATAATTTTAAAATTAATATAATTTTTATATAATATTTAACTCAGAAAAATATTAAATTTGTTTAAATTACTTTATTCACGTTTTTATTTTAATTATAAGTGATAACTAAAAAAATATCCAATTTAGTAATTAATGATTGCTCCATCGTTAACTAGACGAAATCGCCTTTAAATGTAAGTAGAGCTCCTTTAAACCATTTAAATTGTATTTCTATAACCCCTACAATTGGACCAAAGATACCCCATTTCTAGAAATACTTTCAAGAATTGAAGTCCATATTAATTAAGTTGAAGTTAGTTGCCGAACAAATTGAACGCCTCTGGTTGTGTAAAAAAAATTATGATTTGATAATCTATTACCAATGAGTAACTTTATTTTCAACAAAAATAAATTTTTCAAATTTTTATTTTTTTTTCTCTGATCTGAGGAGATGGCTGGGTGTAAATTGTCAATAAATAGCAAGAAATTACTATGCCTAATAAGATTACAATAAATGAATCTGTATTTTGAACCACTTTATTTTCTATGAACTTATGAACTTCAATTTCTATTACTTATTTTTTGAAATTGCACATAGGCATCTATATATTTTTTATTTTTTATTTCGATGTTTTTTTATTAATTATACTAAAGCTCAATTATTATTTTATTAACTAAAAAGGATGATTTTTTTTAACCGCAATTTTGAAAAGGTAATGAAAAAACAATTAACACTACATCTGAAAGGTCATACAAGCAGAGATTGTGTGCATGTTTGTTTCATTATTAATTATAATTGCAAGTTATTATTTATGCCGTTGTTTAATAATTGTTGTTAAAAATGCGTTTCTTTGAGAAAGAAAATTGGTTAAATAATAATATTGTACAGCCCGATTAATGTGGGTTACTTCAATTGCAACAATGTTGAACCGCGAGTTATTTCATAATTGCTATAATTTTGTGATCAACAAATTTTTAAATTTGATGTTCGATATTATGTCTGTCGCTTAGATTTTGTTATTTTGTAGTACTCCCTATTTACGATAAAAAAAATAAATCAATAAGAAATTAATTTTTTTTTCTTGAAAAGATAGAATTTTCGGGACAATTAACCGGTATCACGATAATATCAACAATTTATCATTATTTTCAATAACAACATTTATTTGTCCTCTTGCTTTAAAACTTATAATCATGACGTAGACGAATTAATAGATCAGTTAGGTCAAGATTTTTACCACAAACGTCAACGATTTGACAGCAGTTTGTTTTTATAGCTTTATCGGTATATTTAAATCTTTTTTATTATCTTCTTCTTTATCTTCTTGTATATGTAATGCTTCCTTAAGAATATTAACATAATATAGCTTATGTAATTCCAAATATATTGTTACCACTTGCGAGTTATGCATATATGTACTACAGATTCTCAAATTGAAGTCATTTAGTAATTTTATACAAAATCGATAATTCAATTCAAATATTAAAAAATCGTTTAAGCTCATTAGATTTAAATAAGTTTTTTTTAAAATAAATTATATTATTATATTAATAAGGAATAATTATTCGTAAATCATATTTCAGGGAAAGTTCCGAGCTTTCAACTATGTGGACACCCTCATCCACTACATGCTCAACCTCAACATCAAACCTGATGAGCCCATTAAAATGATAGAAGATTTTGAGGAAATTAAGGAACACCTGAAAAAATTGTAAGTACTTCATTTTAAAAAGTATTTCGGAATCGGTTCACAACTGATGAGGATTCCTTATATTTGGAAACTTGTATGAAAAAAAATTAAGTAAATTTGCAATAGAATTCAAGTGATAAAAAACTATAAAATTAACATTACAATTTTCAAATAATAAAAAAATGTTCATGTTTATTTAAAAACTTAAAATAACCACGCATCTGTAAGGCATGGTGAGGACAAGGAACTATACCCTCTCTGCCTTTATAATCGTGCATTTATAAAAAGTAATAAAATACATTTTAAACTAAATATTTATATTGAGAGTCGAAAGGATGAGAGAAAAACGAAAAAATATTTCTTGGATGGAAGTTCTGAAGTTACACTTCTAGAACCGTAAGTTAAAGGGTACAGGATACCGAACGGTAACAGCTAAAAGCCCAGGATGAGAGGCTGCGGCCTAAAAAGGGATCTCACGTTTCACTTTCGCAAGAAAGTTGTCCTGCAATAGATCCCTGGACACTGAATTAAGAAAGCTAATATTAACCAACGTTGGCGCAGAAATCATCTACTTCACGATATGCCTATGGACCGAAGCATGTCTATTTTTTCACTTGCGAGCAGGCTCAAGGCACACCTGTTCAGTAAGTTCAAAATTGGCTCTAGTCCCCTCTACGAGTGCGGTGAGGGTGAACAGAATGCGGAGCATATACTGCTAACGTGCAGCATCTACTCCCAGAAAAGTAGAATGATGTGGTCCTCTCTAGCTGAAGTGGAAAGAAAGCTATATGGAAGTCTGGAGGGCCTGAGGAAAACCACCAAATTCTTCATTTTAGTTCCTGACCAAGCCTATAAGCAAGAACGTAGAAGAAAAATCTCAAGTTGCTTTGGCAAAACATTGTATCTATCTGATGAAATTGTTTATAATAATAATATGCTTTATTTAATCTTGCACAAGTCTCTTAAGAATGAGATACAATAATGGAATTGTTGGCTTTAAAGCATCAGAGCTATTTGAAAAAGATAACAATTTTTAATTTATTCTCTTTCCTCCGAAAAGAATGATTGTAAAATCAAACGAATTTTCAACTATTTCAACCATTTTGTATCATTAATATAACTTGTTATTTAAGTTAGAATATTACGCTGTAGGAAGAACACAGAAGAAGAAAAGGGACCTCATCGCAGCCAAAACTTTGAATGTGAATTACGAAAGTGTATGTTATCCAAAATAAAAAGAACTTTGTTTGCCATTTCAGCGCCACACGACGAGTAAGGGAAAACCCCCACAGGGCGAGTAGGACGAATAAGGGAAAACTCGCGACATCGAATAAATCTATTTTATTTTTTTTTAAATTGAACTATTCAATAAAAACAGTGAAAATGTATATTATGTCAACTGAAAATATTATCACGAATTCCAGAAGGCATCAACGATACAGTTTATCGAGTCTTTGAAATTAAAAAAAATAAAAAATAGATTTAGCCGTGAGTTTTCTCTTACCTACTGAGCGTCGCTGCTATTAAAATGATGGCTGATTTAAAGAATATTAGGCCAGTAACTTGAGGATTGAAGCGGGAAATATATTATGATAAAGGGTTCAAACATACAACAAACGAAATTGCTGACGAGAGTAACCAAGTGCCCTTGCTTCCTCGCGTTAGCAATTTTGGTTTTTACATGTTTGAACATGTATCAATATAGCCGAATCTCCAGTCTCGTGGTGCAGCTCCCATCCCTCTGTTCTTTCTCCAATGTAGTAACATTATGATATGTTATTTAGTTATTACCTGAAAGTAACTCCTAAGATTCCAAAGGAACTGTGGGACAATAAATTATTATGACCCTATTGGTAACGCATTCCAGTTACAGAAGAGAAATGTATCCAAGCGCCGAGGCAGGCCACTATCGGTCGACCTCCCTGCCCACACCGCTACCTTTCTCCCGTCTCTAAGATGACAGCGATAGTGTTAGTTATATCTCATCCAACTCAACGCTGTCTGGATTTCTCAACTCACAATATAGTCCAGGTGGTGAAGTGACGTCTTCGTGCGTGTTCGATGGTTGATTTCACAGACGATGTCGATACGAACTTTATAGTTTAATGAAAAATCTGTTGTGTTGTACGCATCATACAATGTTTCGCCCTTGAATGAAAATGGGAGAGACAGGCATTCGATTAATTCCACTAGACCTTACCACTAGACAGGCAGATAGACAAACACCAAAGAGGTTCCTCGTATTTTTTTATAACATCAACTTAGCATAATGGTGGGCTACTTATCGGTCGTTTTTCATGCAGTTATGCTTTCATTCTGGCAATTTGGCCCTCCCTTTTAATGTTTCCTAAGATTTATCATTCCTGGTATACTTGGGGATAAAGGTTATGATGATGAACAATCGAAACCTCTCGTTCATACTCGAGTGCACTCTTTGACTTCGTTGGTTCTCGGTCTCATTTCATTATATCTTCATTAGGTCTTCATTTAGTCAATTATCAAAATCATTTATTGTTTATTCCTAGTTTCAATGTGGAACGGTTAATTATTTCAAATAAACAAAATTAAAGATGTATCTGATGAAGTATTTTTTTTTAAAATATGCATTTCTGCCCTGAAAATATGTAAATTGATAATATGAAGTGCCACTCCCGATCAATCAATAATGATGGAAAAGTTGCTGTAACATTCCAGAATTATACATTTTTTCGTCCGTTCAACACATACCATTTTACTAGACATGGGTATTTTGTACACATGGGATCCCAAAACGCTTATTTTCTTTGAAAACCGAGATTTGAAATTTTTCACTTCAAATTCTTCCCCCCACAAAATATTTAAGATTTGATCGGATTCTATAATTCCTTATTTAGTAATTCTCTATTTTTCATTATATATTCTTTCATTACCTAATAATCACTTAAAATATTTGTGCAGTCTAATATTTGACATTTTCCAACAGTTTTTCACATGTTTAGAAATAGTTATAAGATATGTGAAGTTTACTATCGATATATCGAAAAATTATAGAGATCTGTGAAAAGAAAAGGTTCCCCGACTATAACATAACCAGTGGGCTTAGACACCCTGTTATATAGGTAGGCTATAAAATGTGTAATTTAAACCTGACTATAGATAGCTTAAAAATTTATAAAACTCGAAAGAGTTTTAGTTTCGTTATATTACATAATTTCCGTTCCTCACCTCAGTCAATTTTTCGATAAATTGAGCAGTCTATACTATTTCCATTACCCAGAGAATCGGCTTTTAGAATTATAATGTTTTGTAGTATTCATAGTTTTATTTATTTTTAAATGCAAAAAACAAGAAAATAATTTAAATAATTTCCTATTGTATATGAACTAGCCCCAAACCTTCGTTACCAAAACACAAGATTTGGTCGAGACACAAAGCAGCAACCCTTATCCAGAGTAACGTCAGAGGATGGCTGGTGAGGAAGAGACCGGAGGTATTCGAAATGCGACAATTTTGGAAGGTAAATGTTTTCCACACTTCCATTTACAGTTTATTAAAAACGGCAGTACAGATCATTATTCCGGCTCTCTAAAGCGATGGATTTTAATAAATGAGTTATCAAAAGAAAAGGGATTTCATGAAGAAGTGACGAATTCGGTCCTGAAATTCCTTCAACGATCTTAATGAAATTGACAAAAAAAAAAATATAGGTTTCAAAAGTCGATGGATCGAAGCGGGATAAAATATGTTTTAAATATTTCTAGGCGGACATTATAATCCTGGTTGATAGTTTCAAGCATGGTTTGAAATCGATAATTATTTTTTTCACAAAATCAAATAATGATTTTTATATTTGATGTTTATTTATTAGATTAAAAATAATGATCACTCACTGATTGGTACATTTTTACATAAATAATAATGATTAAATTGCGATAAAAAAAATTTTGATTCGAAAATAAAAATCATGTTTTACACACAAATAAAATAAAATATTAATATGTATGTATATGTTAGTAATGTACACATGTTTTAATATTATATTTCCGAAATCGTTGCAATTGTGCACGAAGTACCTGCACTATATAATCTTTGATCAAAGCCTTTGCTGGAAAAACTATGTATCCAATATCTCTCGACGTACCTTTTCTATCCTAAAACATTTAAATAGCCTCTGTCACTTTTTTCTTTTTGAAACACGTAGACTACTGCTCACTTCCTTAATATTTTCCCATTTTGACTAATGCTGCACGGTATATGGAAGGGTTCCTGAGGATCTTGAGGCGAAACTAAAATGTTTGTTAATGTGGTCCCAATGGACGACCCTGTTTCCGGAAAATTAAGACTTTATGAAAAAAAAAAAAAAAACCATTAATACTTCAAGAATCTGCCACTGGAGTGTTAGAAGTATACGTTAGGAAGAAGGGAATTTATACTAGCCTCGACCGGCCTACGAGAAGTATCGTTGTGAGATTGGTCTCAGCCAGAGGTTCCCTCCTCCCCCCTCCCAAGGCTGATGGAGCAAAAACCGTAACCCCACCCCTCCTAAGATATTTTATTTTTCTCTTCTTCTTAAAAACAGTGAAAACGAAAGTAGAATTTGAATATTCGTAGATTATATACCATTACACATTCTGTGGTCTATTCCATGATTCCACTTGTCTTTTGATTTGAAAATTTTCATTTTGAAAATTCATAACCCTGTCGAAATTTGCCCCCCTCAAAAGTTGAAAACCATGTCAAAAAGCGCCCCCATTTACTGTGATGGCGCAACTTGCGCCATAAAACCCCCTTCTGGGCACCCGTAAATATTTATATAGTTGAGAGCACTATTTGAATACATGTATTTGTACTTGTTGAATTGCATTAAAGGGCAGGGTGGCCGACAGGGCTGACGCGTGTGCAAAACGTGGAGTTTTTTTTTGTTCTCCCCTTCCTTGTCTTTTAGGCTACACATGATTTTCCCGAGGGGAGAGGGCGGGGAATTATACCGAGTTAAATGTCCCACCGGGATTTGAACTCGTAATTATTTGTTTATCCTAAAATTTTGGTTATCAGTTTGCCGAGCAACGCAGGACGCTGTGCGTTAGCCAGCTCGGCCATTCAGCATTGCTCAGCAACCAGATAAACCGAAATTTATATTATAAAATAGTTACATTTTCGCATCCCAAATACTTTTTAACACTGGCATTGACCCTCCGCCCTTTCCTCTGGCCTGGGAAAACTTCGTATTACTTAAAAGGCAAGCAATGTGTTGATAAAAAAAATTGATTTGCATGAAGGAATCTTTACACTCCATTATCCAATCAATCATTTCATATAAAACACGGCATTACAATATATTGCTATTCTCACATAGCAATGTTTCTTACTAATAAATCTAGTAGTTATTCATTCTATAGCAACATCATTTCATTTAGATATTATTTATAATATAACTGACATTATTTGGACATTTTATATTACATTACCCATAAAATCATTGAAATATAAACTTAAACAAGAAACTTAAATTAAATACGACAGATGGATTATCTATGGCATTATAAATATAATTTTCCTTTACAGGTCATGAGAGAAGAACTCCAGACCAGAAAAGGTCCTGCCGTAGCTAGATCTAATCTTGAAGATATTATACCCATGGCTCAGGAAATCAGCTCAGACACCGATGGAACGGAATACAACGATGGAGAACAATTCTTCAAGTGGAGGAAGCCCGAGGAAGACGACGGCCACAGATTGAATCAACTCAACCTACTCGCTCTCGCCCAGAAGTCCGGCAAAGCTCATTCCAAGCACGGCAAGAGCATAACCCAGAGGGAAAAATCTCGAGCCCAGGAATATAACTTCCGCGAAGCAACGGTCCAGACTGAACGTTTCGTTTATAGAATGGATTCAGATCGCCACAAAAAGAACCCATTCGAACAGAGTAGTTTAGGATCCGGACATGTCAACTCTCTTGGCTCTTATCATTCCAAAGACAAACCAAAGTACAAACGAAAGGAAACTGAAGAGGGAACGAAAAAACCTGAAATAAGTAGAGAAGACATAGAGATTCCACTATCATTTGAAAGTCTAAGTAACAAAAAAAAAAATAACAAGGAATAAATAAATCGAACTTATCTTTTTATATTTAAATAAACGAACGTCATAATAGCTGGTGGTTATATGTACAGGTAAATGATTACCTAATCTCTTAATTAGTGTTGCCCAAAATCGGTCTTGGTCTTGCACTTTGCAAGACCAAGACCAAGGGCGCCTAACTGTTGCAAGACCAGGACCAGGACTGGTAAAAGAAATTTTTGTGAATAAAAATTAAGGCAAAATAGTTACTAATACTTTGCAATCTTAGTTGCTATATGTTAATAATTGGTATAACCAATATACTTTTGCATTTAACTCATATAATGTTTCATTCGGACTTAGGTTTCTCCTATCTAAAAAATTACAGTTATATCTCTATAGTAATAAGCTAATAAGTAACTGCAAGACTCTTGCGCAAGACCAAGACCATGACCAAGACTGAGTTTGCAAGACCAAGACTCGTCTCATTGGTATCATTTTATACCATAGCATTAACTATAGTACAACTTACATAATGAAACATCCCTTCAGGAATTTTAATTCTTATTCAAAAATATTAGAGAGTGTTGACCGATGTTGGTGAGATTTGGCTTTCATGTCGGTTTGAAAAGACTCATTTTTTTTTTTTTTTTTTTATGTTTGTCACAAATATTGGTCAATATTGTCACAAGTCAACTGTGACTAACACGTTGGTCCAATGTATTATTGAGGAACCTTATGAATTTTACGCAAATTACTAGAAGTGGTACGTGAGAGGTGCGAGTTTCACGAGTGGACTTTTTAGTCATTATTTTCAAATCAGATTTTTCTCAAATAATATCAATTACTGGAGGAGATAACAAGTCGAAGCTGAAGGAAGTGAACATGCAACAGACTCTAACTTTTTTTTTGCACTAAACTTTTTTTTGCAGTACAAGTTATATTTCTTGCCACTTAAAGAATGTGTATAAAAAGCTATTTTTATAGTGTTCATTTAATTTTCATAGGTATAGTTGAAATAAAATACGTCATTTGAAGGACAGGAGAAACATTGGTGGATCTCACGAGGGACTCTCGGGTTGAAGATTCCTGCCACAAAATGGAATTTTTTTTTTCACTGGTTCATATTTGTTTATGTTATATACTCTGACGCAAATAATCAAAAAATCACAATTTATTTTCTTTTTAAAATATAATATATATGGAGCGATTAAATAAAAAAATTATCTCTAAAAGCGTTATTGTTCCTGTAATTAACTTGTTTTTTTTGGCTTCGAAGCACACTAAAACATCTTTTCATTTAGATATTTTTTCCTTTATCTTCCAGAGTAATAAAGGAAAAAAAGAGTTTAAAAAAAATAAGAATAAAATACCTAAAAATATTAAATCCGTGTATATTACTTCCTACCTTAATCCTTATTCTATTAATAGTTTATTACTTTATTCTGTTAATAATTTAATAATACTTTATTTATTTACTATTTTTGTTTTGTAGTTTCTTCTGTGCAATTAGTTTTTTGTTTTTTTTTACATTCTACTATTGCATTTCTTTAATATTTGTTGTCCACTTATTACTTTTAATGACTAATATTCCATACACTATAGTTGTAATATTATGCTAAATTGAATCTGTAATTAAAAAAAATAGACCTATATGGTACACTACAAAATTTAGTAAAAATATTGAATTTGAATAAATGATAATTCCAGTGCACAAGTTTGTGAAAATGGACGTATAAATTTGTTTCAGATTTTAGTAAAATTAACTATTTCACTTTGTATAAAATAGAAAGTTGGTAGATTTTCAGGCTCCATGGCTCATTTAGAACCTATTTCTTAGGTTTCTAAATTTATATAGATTACCATATACTCAAGAGGCTCGGGAGTGTCGCCCATAAAATGTTAAACTGAACAGACGTACATCCCAGAATAGATGGCCTTATGGAGGAAGACCGTTTGCAGAGGTTGATGAACGGTTTCCAAAAATAGCCTATAGGCCGAGGATGTGGGCCCGGGTCCAGGTACGGTGACTAAATATAGCCGACTTAATTTGAATAATAAAGGGCGCCTCTCCTGCCCTATCTAATCCCTCCGGGTAATGATAGGACCGCTCGTCTTAAAGGGAACAGGAAGCGATTATGTTGTTGGTGGGGTGTAGGTTGCTGGGTCCTATAGCAATTAGGATGAATTTATTATTTATGTTATTAATTTATGAAATTATAAGCTTCGTAACAGCAAGGAATGTTGTTCTAATAGAGTGCGGAATGGGTTGAAGAAAGAGAAATCAAATAGCCGATGCTTCTTGAAAATGTGAGAGAGTTATGTATGTTTCCAGCGCGAGATCAGGAATGGAAATCGAAGGATGAAGTTACGTATTGAAAACAATATGGTGATGAAAGATACCTAACATAACAGCTGATATTAGTATTTATCTTGTTGACCGTTTCGCAGGTATCTAGGATAGCGTAGATATGATTATTTAAATATTTTATATAGAAGGTATTCGAATATTTCGAATAAAGAGTTTCAAGAGAGGATTGGTCAAATAGAATAAAGTTGTAAAAAAACAAGTTAAAAGCTACTGTGCATCCTACCTCGGGCCTCCTAACTACAGCAGTTCCTACGACACTCTTCCAACAGGAAAAAAGTGATAACCAAAGATCTGTGAGGCTCTGATCATCATAAAGTGTTACATTTCACGCTTGGATTGAGAGGTTATCAGAATAAAGTTCATCTCAAAGCATGTTGTCAATTTATCAATCTACAAAAGTATAAACACCATGTTTAACTATTACGCCTTGAGAAAACCGTTTCAATGATAACTTTTCTGATTCGAATGAGAACATGAATGTATGAAAGAGACGTCAAAGTTTTATCAAATGGTACCATTAGACGCAGATTGCCAAGAATGTAATAACATTTAATAGGACTTCAAGAACCACTTAAACACCATTTCATACAGGTAGTTAATTTTTTTTTCAAATTAATTATCGTCATATATATACATATGCAACGTCGAGCGTGGTTAGTACTTGGATGGGTGACCGCCCGATTCGAGTGACCGTCCACCAAGGAAAGTCATGCTGCCTGAGTCTCTCCCCTCCCCCCCGGGTATGTGAGTCCCGTCAGTCTACTGGAGGGAATTCACACCGACCGGGCGTAGGACTGATGACCCTACTCCGTGTACCTAAATCGGGAATCGGGATGTGGTTTACCAGAATGTTAATAGCCCTCCTGAGGTTCGGTCCGTGGACGGTCTGTTTTGGGAAATGAAATATAAGTCCTCGTGCGCCTGCTGACTCCAAGCAGCCATAATCCATGGATCTAGACCGATTTGTCACTGTTCTTGAACTCGAGAAAGTCGGTGAGAAGGACATTGCCAGATTGGCCCCAAAGAGACCGGCTATGGAGCTACGGGTGGCCTGCCGCTCCACCATGGAAACCATGGTTAGTAGCAACGTGAGGTTGGGTGATCCCCTCCCGGCTATCTGATCTCCCGCAAGCAACATACGTCTGTAAGGAGACCACATCTCGCGGCTAAAGATCTTCATGGTCTGAAGTGCCAACCGGAAGAAGAAGAAGATATATATATATATATATATATATATATATATAAATTAATCTTTTGGGCTGAAGCCTCCCAAAATTAAATCCTGGATCCGCTAGTGTGCAACTGCAATAAATAGTATGCTACTATGGAATATGATATAAGGAAATAAAATATGAAACTATACTAATAAATCATTTATAAATAATCAGTTTTTACAAACGACCTTATGCACTGATAGTAGCAATTTAGCACCATAATCTACAAAATGTGTAATGCCAACAAAAAATAAGTAAATAAGAATAAATACTGTAAACTAGACGATAATAACTATGGAAATGAAGAGCCTATTGCTATGGGACCACCGTGGAAAGATTAATTTTTTATTTTAAAAAGTCATAAAAATCGATTCAAGAATGACTACGTTATAAGTGAATACACTAAAAAAAAAAAGTCGAATGGAGAATCCCCCAATTTCAAGTAGTAATATTTTAAATCCCCCTTTTGAAAATAAATTTCTTTTTAAAAATTGAAATTACATAAAAGAAATTTTAATTGTAATTTCGTCATATACTGTATTTTTCGCATAGGTTGTAAACGAGTTTATATTAAAACAATAAATAAAATATTATAACTGTAATATGAAATGTCTTAATGAATTTAATAGGATCTAGTACATGTATATAAGTTATGATAACCAGGTTCTATTAACCGGCTAGAAATTTCAACAGTTGGAAGACATTGCTTGACCCCGTATCTACAAGTATTTGAACGAGAAAATTTGTCAAGTAGCTGTCAGTTGGAAAGTGAATAAATCGTGATCAACGCCTACTCAAGTCTGACCTATGCCCTCTCCGCAACGACGAAATCAGACCACGGTTCTACTATATATTCACAGCTGCATAACTGGTCAGCTCCGAGGGAGATTTATCGTATGAAGGTCCTCTGTGAACTGATCCGCATGCATCAAGACAACATTAACATACCTATTACAACACTGAATAATTAATTAGAAAATGGTAAGCTTTATATTGTAGAACATCACTATTGTTGTTTTTGTTAATTAGATTTTGATCCCTTATTACCTCCAAAGCAGGTAGGAAAGTATAAACGGTACATGTGAGCGACGCGGCCTCTATGGACTGCTATCTGCAGTTATCTTGTTATTTCAAGTGTTGTTGTTGTTATTTATATTTCTTGTTAATATATATATATATATATATATATATATATATATATATATATATATATTATATATATATATATATATATATATATATATATATATATATATATATTATAATGAAACTGTTTTCTCAAGGCGTGACAGTTAAACATGATGTTTATACTTTTGTAGGTTTATAAATAATACATCTCTACCAATTATCCAACATGCTTTAAGATGAACTTTATCCTGATAACCTCTCAATCCAAGCGTGAAATGTAACACTTTGTGATGATCATAGCTTTAGTTTCACAGTTCTCTGGTTATCACTTCTTATATATATATATATAGATATATATATATATATATATATAATAAGAA